AAATATTTTAAAAGGTGGAAAACAACAATAAATCCAGAAACAGAGGTGTAGATATCAAACTGTAATTAACTTCTGAAACAGGGTAACCCCAGAAAGGGACCTAAACTGTAAATTCCCCATAGCCCACTAGAAAATAACCTAAAACACAAGAGGAGATGAACCCATATTGCTGGGCTCTCCTCTGTTTCTTTCAACTTCCTGACAGGTTCTCATGTAGCTAAGGGTGGCCTTTAACTCCTCATGAAGACAAGAATAACTTTCAACTTGTGATCCTCCTGCCTCCAGCTCCAGAGTGCTGGGATTAGAAGAGGCACATGCCATTACATGAATCTTATGCTGAAATCCAAACCATACAGATCATGCCAGTATGCAAGCACTCTACCAACTGGGTTACATCCCAGTCCCAAAGCCAAGGGTTGAAGAACAGTTTCAAAGGAGGGATAAGGAAAGTTTGGGCCAGAGCTGGGAAAATGGCTCAGTGAAGAAGTCAATTGACACAAAGCATGAGGGCCAGAGTTTCAAGTCCCAGAAGTCACATACAAGCCAGCTTAGCGTGATGGCCACCTGTAATCCCAACACCCATTGGTCAAAGACAGGATCCCCAGAGCAAGCTAAGTAGTAGATCTATACACCCTGGTTTCAGTGGAGATACCCAGGCCCTATAAAGTAGAAAAAGTTCAAAGAAAGGCACACAGTGTCAACTTCATGCCCTATTATGAGTATGCATGAGAATGCATGTGTACTCACAAACACACATGTGCCCACACATGTGAACATGTATACACACAAGCCAAAACAAAAGCAAAAGAAAGTTGAGCTCCAGATGTAAGGACCCATTCTATTCCAACAGAAGTAAAGAATATATGTGACATTGAAGTGCTATTGAAATCCTCTGAGGTTGTGAAGACAAAGGGAGAGGATCTGAACAAAAGGTAATAAAGACAGTAGTCCTGAGCTGTAAGCTCTAGGCATGGCCAGACACACCTTCCTGAAACCTTATTCTGAGCTTTGCACTCCTCCTCCAGACAGTCTCCAGAAAAAAGTACTTAAAGTTGACATACCAGATGTCAGTTCCAAAACACAGCTCTCACCTCAAAGGAAATAATAGGTGACTTTATTTAATAGTCATATATGAGTGACCATAGCTCAGGAACACAATTCTAGGCTCCTCTACATTCTATGTTTCAGTGTGTTAATGATTTTATCAAGTTTTTACAGTAATCGAACAAATTTTCAAAATACATTGGTGGGACTAGAGAGATGGTTCATCATTCAAGAGCTCTTTTAGAGGACCAAGACTTGGATTCCAGCATATTCCCCAGAAGGCTCACAATTTATATCTCCAGCTCCAGGGGAACTAACACCTCCTTCTGACCCCTGAGGGCACTGCACTCACGTGTTCACACACGGACATGTACACATAGACATCATTTGTTTTCCTAAAAAATAAAATACTTAAAATACATTGGCAAGAACATCAGGCAGGCAGGTTACAGCAAAGCAGGGGAGTCTCTGCTAAAGGTATCAGATGGTACCTGACAACATTCTTAACCTGTGGGTTGGTGGACACTAGAGTGCTGTTCGCACATTTTAGAGAGATTTACCTACTATTACAAGGATGGATGCTGAGTCATGGGGGTGAACAAGGAACAATTATTAAGACAGACTAAGACAGGTCAGGGTAATTTGACTCTGATTTTATTGGTCTTTCTTTCCCTAAACACTAAGGTTTTAATCAGCCAGTCAGCCTTGTAGAAACTTTAACACAGTGCAAACGGAAGTAGCATTTAGAACTCTGACTATGGTTGAGATAGGTGAAAGCCAATCTCATTAGTATAAGAAAGCCCATAAAAATCAGAACTTACTAAATTCAAACAGCTATTTAAACCAGAGTGTTTTGAAATGACTTTTCTGGTAAGATGTCAGATTTGTGTTCGTATGACATAGTTGTGGTGACAGTTTGTTTGCTTTTGTGGTGCCAGGAATCACATACTGGCCTTGTGCATACTAAGTAGCTGTCTTACCACTGACATGCATCCCCTAGGCTTGCACTTCTAGTTTTGCTAAGAATGTAGCCAGTACTGATATCTAAAGCTCGCATTCAGCTGGTTGACATACCAATGGTGTATTGTGGTTAGCAGTTTTGATTGCTTAACCAGTAGGGACATATTTTGAATATCACTTTTGGTTATGTCATGGTTTCTGCATCTGTGATGTGAAAGGAGTCATATAAAAGACTTACCTGTTCAGACAGACTTGAATATGCAGATAGACATGCTTATTGTTCCTAAATACTAAGTGTTTTGCCCATGAGCTTCTAACACTGATGAGGGTTTCAGTCCCTGTATTGATTCTCTCCATCCTTCTTTCACAGAGATAAACCAAAGCATAACATAAAAAGGTGAGTGAAAGCAAACATTTCCAGGACCTCCTTCCTAGTTTCAAACCCGGTTTTACCATAACTAGTGTCCTTTATCGTAGACTGCACACCCAGAAACATGTGGATTCAGGAAACTACCCAGAATCTTGCCTTTCTATTTCATTTTGCAGCTCTCTTCCCAGACATTGTCTTAACCAGTTTCAACCTTGATAAGAAAATGCCATAGGTTTATGTTTAACTAAATAATCAGTTTCACTTTGTACATTTTAAAGACTGGGAAGTTCAAGAGCAAAGCATACACAGATATGGTATGGGAGACCCTCTTCCTCCTTTGTGTCCTCCTTGCTGTGTCCTCAAATTACTGATTCCTTCTCTTCTGTTTCTTCTAAGGATACCAAACTCACAGGACCCCAAGACTAATTGCTTAAGAAAGATCTCATTTAAAAATTTTTAATTATTTTTACTTTATATGCATTGGTGTTTTACCTGCCTGTGTGTCTATGTCCTGGAACTGGAACTACAGATAGTTGTGAGCTACCATACAGGTGCTAGGAATTGAACCTAGGGCCTCTGGAAGAGCAGCCAGTGCTCTTAATCATCTCTCCAGCCCTGAAAGATCTCATTTTTAAGTGACCATGGTCATTTGAGATTCAGCAGAGGAAGGGGAGATAAGCATTTACTCTATTAGCAATCTGATTACTAAAGTCAGAAAGCAGTTGTAAGGTAGGAAGCCAGCTACCTTTGAGGGTTGCTCTTTACATTTACCTGGTACTTCCCGGGTCAATGGAAAAACTACTGTTCTGAGGAGGCTTCTGGCCAGAAGGAGAGGTGGAGGGATCCTAGTCAGGAAGAAGGCATCAAAGGCTGGGTCAAACCTTTGGGGAGGAAATATAATGTTTAAGGAATGGGCTGGCAAAAACAAACATGTGCAAACCAAAGTAAAATAGCAAAAGGTTGGGAGCATCTGAACTTCTGTGTTTAAGCCAGGAATAAACATCCGTGGCTATCTTTGGGTCATGATCCCCCCGCCCCCCCCCGCCCCCCCCCCCCCCCCGAGCATACATGTCTGAGTTTCACAGAGCCACATGGATTAGTGAACAGAAACTTACCCAAGAGCTGTTACCTTAAGAAGATCATTTTTACTTTTCAGTCTCTTTGCTCTTTCTTGACAAAGATAAGGCATGTATATATATAAATATATGTGTATTAAGCATGCCTGCACAGGCCACAAAAACAACTGTTGGGAGTCACTTCTATCCTTCCATCTTGTGGCATCTGGGGACTGAATTTAGGTGAAAAGAACTGCACAGAGCTACCCCTTATCTCTGAGCCATCTCACTAGTCTTCATTCATTTTATAAGGGTGGATGATTATCGAAAATAGCTGTTTTCTTGGCTTTAATAAAAAATCAAATTCTGAAAATAAAAGGTATTAATTTTCAACTCTCCGACTGGTCCATAATCTTCACAAATTAACTTGCTGAGGAAAATTCTGAGAAACAATTTGGTATTGAGGGGTTGGGCAGCAGTTTTTCATATCCTGTTAATTGTGAGAGGGGTGAAGAAAGAGGAATTGTTGTTTTGACTTGTGTCCTTGTTTTTGTTTTCCCTCGAAGACTTATAACCATTTATCAACTTTCCAAGGAACATAGAAAATAACAAATGGTTCCCCATAAATAAATATACAGGTCCATACTGATGTAACTGATTGCACAGATACACGAGAGGTAAGAAAAAGGCTACTAATAATAATGTCTGGAAAATACAGGAATTAGAGTCAGTCTTCCTCTCACTTGGAGTAAAATGAAACAAATTATTTCAATGCAAAGAAGATGGTGTGAGAAGAGAAAAAAATAGTAGTCCAGCAGAGACACCTAGCCTAGACTTGACTTCAATCAAGGGATCAAGGTCAACATTGCTAGTAATGTCTGCTGTCATAATGTTGTCCGGGAGAGAATGGGATGAGAGGGGCTGCTGGTCCCCGTGATTTTCGTCCTGGTATACACATAACCACGTGTGAAAGATACCTGGCACACAGGAGGATACTTACAACACCTCACTGGTATAACCACAAATCTCTAAATGTGTTTGCGACAAGGAAAGGCTAAGAAATTGTCACAGACCAGTAGAGTCAAGGTGACCTACACTACTGCCATTTGGCATTTTGAATGGGATCTTTGGGGAGGGGGCAGATGCTAAATGGTATTAGCTCAAAAACTAAGTGACATTCGCAGAAGTAATGTACACTGCTAATTTCACAGTTTTGACAAACCCACATCTATGAAAGTGTGGATCTTGGGGACACTAGTTGAGGAGTCTGGGTAACTTTTCCTTCTGGTTTTGCAACTGTTTGGGTTTCAGATCATACACACACACACACACACACACACACACACACACACACACACACACACACACACACACACACACACACACACACACACACACACACACACACACACACACACACACACACACACTTTGGTACAAATAGAAAGTTATCAGCAAGGGCCCCTCCTCTAGAGCCTCTGTTCTGGGACATGCCCCTTAGGCGGAGTCTGGTCTTTCAGCCTTGGTGAGCTCCTCCCAGGCAGGGATCTGAGAGCAGAGGCTCCTCCCAGGAGCCACCCGGCCCTGGACTCTGCCCTGGACGCCCTACCTAACTGAGCCCTAGCTGCCCACAGTCTCCAAACTTCACCAGCTGGGGACAGACCCTGGGCTTATCCCCGGATCTGCCTGAGCTGCAGCAGGCGGGGCGTGCGCTGAACGCCCTCCCAAGGTAGGCGAGCCCCATACAGCTGCCGCAGCACCAGTGACGCGCCAGGTGGGGAGGGGGCTCCAGGTGACCTTGGAGCGGGCCACTCAGGGGAGCTTTGCGTTTCCTGGAAAAGAGGGAAAAGGTTTTGGAGAGGTGAAGAGGGTGTTTCTTTGAACCTCTATGTTCTGGGATCGGACTCCGTGGTCCAGAAGTTTCGAGGAAGAGAGAAAGTTGCCTTTCTCCTACAAAGGAATCCACCCCAGGGCACACACACCTGCTGGTTTATTTAGGCTGTTGTTATTCAGTCCCTTAGTCAGAACTCCCCAGACCTCTGTCTGCCTTTGGTCTTGGAGAAAACGCCAATTTCACTGGAGCTGCAGTTTCAGCTTCCGCGAGTTTTAGCAGCAAAGATGAGTGAAGGTGTCAGTTGTTGGCGCTGACTTGCGAAGCTGCTGGTACAGGAAGGGGACAGCCCACTGCTGAACAGTTTCAGACTGTTCAGTCTAGATTTCAGACTGGCCCGAGGCAGAGTTGCTAGAGCACAAAAACACCTACAGGTGCAGGTGGGGTGCCAGAGTGCATTGTTAAGGTTGTGAATTTTCAGCTTTTCAGAAGGAAAAAGGTGACCATAGCCTTCAGAGCATAGAGCATGTCTCCAGCCCAGGACATGATAATGTTCCATCGTCATATTGTTTTATTCAAAGGATCGAGCCTCCTGCCCCCTTCCTTTCGAGCTATATGAAGGTTAACTGAAGTAGATGAAGTTTAGGAATGGCAAACAGAAAGTTTAAGAGTGGCAGAAGGTGATCTAGAGTCCGGGTGTTACCCCAGGCCATTAAATATTCAGTGCTACTGAAGACTGGTTTTCCAGTAACTTGAGCTGGGCCAGAGTGGCAGATACCTGTGAACAACTGGTGCTGTTGTTCAACTGAACTACATCCCCGGCCCAATAGTAACATTTCAAATTTATCATCCCATTCCCGTTTAACCGTGGGATTTTCTGTGTGAAACTGTCTAGGGGACCAGATAAGAATGTCTCAATGCTGCCAAGGCAATGCCTTGGGGGATAACTTAGTTAGGAATCAGGAAATGGATTGCTTTCTAGGCCCTCATTTAGTTTGCTGTGTGCTGTGACAGTGGGTGCCTTCTGCAGAGGGTGACATGTGATGACCAAGGCTTAAAGAGTTTTCTATATTTGAGCTGAAACCTGGATTCCCAGAACCAGAGAGAAGACAATGTCTCAGTGAGTGGCTTTCTGCCTCTACTCAAAGTAGGGACAGGAAGATAGCATAAGGTCTTCTTTTTTTGTAACTTAGAATGAAAGATTTTTAAAAAACACCCTACACCTGAGGACAAGATAACATGAATCAGACAGTATTATTTTCCATGTTGAATGTGTTCTCTTATATGGCTTAGTTCTTCTGTTTGAAATATCAGAGGAGCCTCCTGAGGGTCCTGTGAGCGACGCTGGATGTTTGGTCTCAGTCACAACTTTTGTTTTTCCCACCTTGGTAAAGGTTTAAAAAGTTACAAGACAGTTGCATTTTCAAAGTTTTGCAGTGGTTAGCTGGAGAGATGGCTCAGCGGTTAACAGCACTGGCTGTTCTTTCAAAGGTCCTGAGTTCAATTCCCAGCAAGCACATGGTGGCTCACAGTCAGGCTGTAATGGGATCTGATGCCCTTTTCTGGCACTCAGGTGTACATCATACAGAACATCATATACATTAAATGTCTTTTGAAAAAAGAAACCTTTAAAAGTTTTACAGTGGCAATCTTATTCCATATGCTTCCTAAGTAGTTTATTCCTTGTGCAGGATTCCATCTTCATCCTTTTTCCTGCCTTGCACTTCAGGAGTTAATGTGGAAGCATTCCTCATGCTTGTTGTGGATCCACCAGGAGGAAGAACTCGATAAGCACTGAGCTGTGAGCATCTTCCAATTCTTTCGCTCAAGTTCATTTCTGTTGTTAAGATTGACAGGAGGAAGTTCATACTGTCAACACCAGGCATGTATCTGTCTCTCTCTAGTATCTTTCCATTAGCCCTTGAGATGGTGTTCGGGAAAAGCCAGGCATCTTCATTGTACAGAAAGGAGAACAAATGGTATCAGAAAGAAAGCTCTTGGCTGCTTCAGGCTCTGAACAAATTTCAAAGTCATTTCTTCCACAGTTTGCATGTAAAGGGCCTCAAGACAGCCATTCAGAAGGTCAGGAGTTTTGATGCTGCAAGGGGAGTTGGAGGTTCATGTATCAAATTTAAATCTTGTTGCCAGTACTCATATATTTCTTATGTATTTCCTCCCTCTTTTATATGTTAGAACCCAGTGCTCATGATTAACGTCCTTTTCCCCCTTATATTAAAATAGATATTTTTCCAACAATATATTCTTACTCCTCCCAGTTCCTCCTCCCCTCCCATCAGGATCCATACCCTTTTGTTTCTCTTTAGAAAACAGACAAGCATCTAAGAAATAACAATAAAAGAAAAGGAGATAAAGTAAAAACAAAGTAGGACAAAATAAATAGAAGAAAAAGCCAAAGAAAAAGCACAAGACACACATATAAACACAGAGACACATGTTCACACACATTCACACACACAGGAATTCCATAAAAACACAAAAGTTGGAGTCATGATACATATGCAAAGGACCTGTAACATTAAAAAAAAAAGAGCCCAGACAAAACATTATGAGACAAAGAATCTCCAAAGACGCCACTGAGTTCGTTTTCTGTTGGTCATCTACTGCTGGGCATGGGACTTTCTTAAGAATAATTTGTTCACCTATGAGAATCCCCTGGAGAAAACCAATTTTTCATTTTCAAGTGATTATCAAATGGAGATAGCTCTTGGACTACTGGTGGAAGCCAGTGTCCTCCTCTCTTACTTCTAGGAGCCCATCTGAGGCAGATGAGTGCAGGCCCTGTGCATGCTCCCACAGCCTCTGTGAGTTCAGAGCTGTGCCATTCTGCTGTGTCTACAAGGTCTTGTTTTCTTGGTGTTCTCCATCCCCTCTTATACTCTTCCCACATCCTCTTTGAAAGAGTTCTCTGAGCCACAGTGTGTCTGGCAGACTTCTTAGCAAAGCAGGAAATTTTAAACTGTCCATATGCATTGGTAGTTTGTCATTTTTCTGTGTCCTGTAGAATGTCTGGCAGATTCTTCCATGAAACATGAACCCTGTACAACTGTTCCTCTTGTTTTGTAAGTTTATCAGTCACTTTCCTGTGGGTCCTGCATGTCCAGTTTATACAGCAACAGTCAAACAGACCAGGTAAGAGCGTGGACTGTTTCAACATGGCTAATCTTGCCATGTTGAAAGCAAACCCCATAACCAGTTTCTTCAATGCCCATCTTCCTCTCAGATGTAATTGGTGTGTCAGGAGTAGTTGTGTCTCACTATCATGAAAAACCCTAAATCATTTAAATGCCATTTTCTGAAGTCTTTGAAGACTATCTATCCATCTCAAATATATCTCTGTATATCTAGAAAACCTAACTAACCTAACTGTAAGTTTTGACTATTATAGGTAACTATCTATAATCTGTATTGAATTATACATTGCATTTTAAAAGAGCTGTATAGACACAACATCTAAACTAGCGGAGAAATATATATATACATATATATATATCACAAAATTGATCTTAAATTTGAATCAATAAATGAAAATCCATACCAATACAAAGTATTCATTTCTATACTGTAATCTCCTTTTTACCTTTAAAAAGAGATTGGTTGTGATCATTAACTATTATAACCAACCCCATTTAATGAAAACAAAAATTTATAAATAATATTTGGGAATTTGGGCATTGTTCATTCCAAACTGCTTTCTGCTGGTTGGGGACGCTTTCCATAGCATGACAAAACACAGAAACCTGGCTAAGTCCTCGTTTTTTGTAGCCTGCAAGGCTGCATCTTCTCAGCTGTTTTAAATTTTGGATCACCTGGGCCACAGCTTCCAGAGGTCATGAAACCATAGAAGTCTAGAAGGAACCCACAGCCTTTCATTTTCTGTGGAAACACAAGTAAAATCACTTTTCCAAAGTAACATATCCTTATACTTAAATTTTGAAGTCAAGGCATTTTTAAAATATGTAAGTTGGATTAATTTAGCAGCATTGATAATAAAATGTCTTTTAGCAGTTGCTGCTTCCACAGCAATTAAAGAATTCAAAGACAACACAATATCATACAGTATCCAGAGTCTCTTTGTACTTTTCATCTTTTATTTTTCTATTCTTTTACTTTTATATATTTATTTATTTTTCTCTGAGACAGGCTTTCTCTGTGGAAATCCGCCTGCCTCTACCTCTAGAGTGGTGGGATTAAAGGCTTGTGCCACCCAGACATTATCCTGTTTATTTTTCTCTTCCAAGCTTAGCTATATTTTTCAAACACACTATAAACCTTTTAGATATTTTACTTTATCTAAATCTGACTTTACTGTGAATCTTTATGCTTTTCTGGCCATGTGTGTATTATCTGCTAAGCAATATTGCTAAAATCAAAGCGGTGGCTATTTTAGCCACTGGCTTTCCAACATGGGAGACATAAGTTTACTGCTAGCATGGGCCATGCGAGTCTCTGTCTCTAGCAAAACAGAGCCCATCTGAGAAAAATGTTGTTATCAAGAAGTGGTTCTTCTCTCTGTGCTTTTGTTTGTAAAATCTCTTTTAAGCTTTTGTCATTGTACAAGGAAATTCATGCCTCATGTTGCGGGTGCCATATTGTTGCGGGATTCCTGCCTGGGTTCCATCGCCGCTTTAGGCTCCAAATAACACATGAGACACTGTATTAATTATAATGCTGTTGGCCATTTGTTATGGTTTCTTAATGGCTAGCTCTAGCTTAATTATTAACCCATAATTACCAATATATATTTTTATAAGGTCTTATCTTATCAAGACACAGCCTCATGTGTCCTCTCTTCCTGCGATCACATGGTGACCCCTATTCTTGACTACATTTCCCAAAATCCTCCTTCTTTCCTAGTCCTGCCTATCTTGCTTCCCTATTGGCCAACAGTGTTTTATTCATTAACCAATAAGAGAGACATATATGCAGAAGGACTTACCCCATCATGTGTGTATGTGTGAATGTGTGTGTGAGTGTGAGTGTGTATATGTATGTGAGTGTGTGCATGTGTTTGTGTGTGTTTCATGTGCAAGTGTGTATGTGGGGGCCTGTGTATGTGCATCTATAGGCATTAGAGGCCAGAAGACAATTTTTGATATATTCCTGGGGCAATCTACCTTACTTTTTTCACTGTCCTGGAACTACAAGCTAAGCTGACTTGCAAGCAAGCCCCAGGGACCTTTCTGTTTCTGCCTTCCCAGTTCTGGCACCACAAGTATTTACCACTGTGCCCAGCTTCCTTTTACATGGGTTCTGGGAGATTAAATTCAGGTCAGTACAAGCATCCCAATAAACTCCTTCCCAGATCAATGTGACCAACGATTCTAACAAAGGGAAACAAATCCATTCAACCGTTGCTTCTAGTTCCCATAAACCCAGTAAAGATCCTTGAATTTTAAAATTGTAGTTGTCCTTCCTTTGCTAGTGTCCTGGAGATTATTATGTTAGACATAAAATGACAAACACAATTAATCTTTGTAATGTAGAGTATTGTAAGCTTTGGGAAGTTATTACGGTCATAAAAGTATCATCATGTCACAATGTGAAAGTTTTGTCATCCCTTGACCTTGTTTTTCATATCCCTCTTATAGTCAGCCTTTCCTGTACTTCCAGACCTAAGAAGCCATGGATCTGTATCCAGTCTGTAAAGCTTCGAAGGGTTCTGTCTCAGATCAGTCAGCTTTATTGCTGCTAGGTGTGACAGGGCACTACACAGTAGATCAAAGCTTCTGACCTTGCAACCAGTAAGCAAGAGAAGATCAGGCTAGGATCCCCACGCTCCCCTTCAAGGGCATACCCACAATGTCTAAAGACCGCCTTATTCTAATGTTATCTACAGGTCCCACTGCATTTCCGGAACTTTGACTAGGTATGCATACATGGGCCACTGCAGAAAAAAACTTCTCTGTGTCAGGTTGATAGAAGTTCAGGTCTATGTGTATTAGCATAATATTTAGAGGGTAATTTGACAAGTCCATGTAGGAAAATAACAAGAGCAATTTCTATCCCAAGGCCTTGGACCACCCCAGCCCTGGGCTTTTGACAAGGATTACAGCACAAGGCATGGAATTCCATTTTGTGGAACAGGCCTTAGAAAGCAGTCATTACCCCATAATGGTCATGCCACTATTACACTGATGAGCTCATTTTTCCTGGCAGATTGGCATTGTAGCACGCAGGATCCAGCTCTGAGTAAGATTATTACTATCTTTTCTCTTCTTGGAGCCTACACAGTACTGTCTGGCCCCATGAAAGGTAGCCAAGAGGAAGAAGGTTTCCTGGTTGGTTTAAGATTGATTTTTCTGTGTTCAGAGGTCATGTATGTGATGTGTTCAGCAACAGGGCCCTACCATGCAGTTATGATGGGTTATGAAGAGCAATGACAATTGACAATAGCAATGACAAGACAAAAGCCTGTTTTGTTTTGGGCCAACCTGACAAATATCAATACTAATTCCATTCAAAATCTATTTGTTTATTTTTAAGTTGTGTTTTGAAATTAGTTTCCTAAACACAGGGCTATCATACAGCCTTAGTTTTGGTTAACTCACTTTCTACTCCCTTCTTTCCTCCTTTCCCAAGCTTCCATTCTTGCATAATCTTTTAACTCTTGGTATTCCCCCATCTTCTTTCATTTCACATGTCTTCTACTCTCCCTTCAACTAGTATTTTAGGTTGGGTTGTGAGAGAGTAGCTCTGTGTGACTTTTAACACCACCTTCCTTCAGGTTAGCACTCCCCTTCTCTCTTTTCCCTGTTCTACACATGAAGAAAATAATCCAGTTAAAGTGAGTTGTGTCTTAATATGAGGGGAGGTGTTTAGTCATACTGTGAATTGATATGCCATGTTTTGTTGGTATCAGTG